ACCGCCTTTAAAGTCTTCAACATTAGAATAAAATATCCAATACCAAGCACAGTAAGAAGTCACTATAAGTTCTGTCTGACTCATAGTAAGAACTCAACAAGTGTTTGCTAAACTGTACCATAAAAAAATATCCTATGGGGGCCGGCCCGGTGGCGCACTGGATAGTGCGCCGCTTGGGAAGCGCGGCGGCGCTCCCGGCCGAGGGGTCGGATCCCACATACAGACCGGCTCCCGCTCACTGGCTGAGCGGGGCGCGGGAGCAACGCTGAGGCTTGCGATCCCGTTGCCGGCCCCAGGTCCGGTACGGGGGCAACACTGAGGGTTGCGATCCGTTGCCGGACACGGAAAAAAAAAAAAAAAAAAAAAAAAAAAAAAAAAAAAAAAAAAAAATCCTATGGAAGACATACTGGCCTGCAGATATTTAGATATATCTTTTTTTATTCTCAGAATCTTGAGGAATTTATCAAATTTCATGGTTGAGAAAAGAACTATCAGTAAAAATATCAGGTATTATAAAGTTTATATGCTCATTATTGTTTAAAGTATTTTAAGGTTTTTAAAATAAATCATTTTTATACTATATATAATTCAGGTTAGCAAATAATAGAGTTTGGATGTGCTGTCCCGCCAAAACTCATGTGGAAATCTGATCTCCAATGTGGCAGTGTTGGGGGATGTCTGAGTCATGGGGGGTAGATCCTTCATGAATAGATTAATGCTCTCCCTGAGGGGTGGGGGTAGTAAGTGAGTTCTCGCTGTATTAGTTCCTGAGAGAGCTGATTGTTTAAAAAGACCCGGGCACCTCCCCCCTCTCTCTTTTGCTTCCTGTCGCCATGTGATTTGCTTGTACCGCCAGCTGCCTGCCACTTTCCACCATGAGTAGAAGCAGGCTGAGGCCCACACCAGATGCAGCTGTCCCAGAATCGTCAGCCAAATAAACCTGTGTTCTTTATAAATTACCCAGTCTCAGGTATTCTGTTATAGCAACACAAAATGTACTAATGAAGCAAACTATTACCTAAAAGTAATTATGTGAATATTTGACAAATACCTCTAGAATACAGGTTCAAGAGGGCAAGGAATTTATGATCTCCTCTATATTTCTAGGATCTAGTATACCTGGCAATAGTAGGTACTCAATAAATATTTTTTTGAATTATTAATAAATATGCAGAAATGAGTATTATACCATGAGCAGGAAAACACAAAACATATATAAAAAGTAAATTCCTGAAAATTAAATATAAATATATTTTCCAGACCAAATGAGGCCAAAATTTATAATATCTAAAATTGTGATATACTGGAAAAGAAGCATATTTGGATGGAGAACATTAGTTTGGTTTTGGAAATGCTGAGTTTGAGGAGCCTTTGAGAGAGTCAGATGGAGCACACTTGGGTCTTGAGCCCAGATGAGAGGTCAGGGTTGGCCATATATATACTTGGGAATCAGTGGCATATAAAGAGAGAGTACAGCATAAAAAGAGAAGAGTACCTAGGATTGGGCTGTGAGGAACACTCGGGTAGAAGAGGAAGAGCCTGCAAAAGACAGTGAGAGAGAGAGAAGGAAAGTCAGGGGAGTGTCCTGTCACAGAGCCAAGCTGAGAGCAATTTTTAGTTCAACACTACTAGGCAATCATACAAGATGAGGACTAAAAACCATTGAAATTGAGGTCAACAGTGACGTTGGCAAGAACAGTTTCAGTCACATGGTAGGGGGTGCAAGCCAAATTGGAGTAGTTTAAGGAGTGATATATGGGTAAGCAGAGCCAGTATATAGACAAATATTGACAAAGGAGAACAATAGGACAAAAGCTAGATGGGAATATGGGATTCTGAGATTGTCTTCTTTTTGTTTATCAGTTAGTCCATCCATCCATTCATCCATTTCTTCCTTTTTAAAATCTTAAGACAGGAGAGTCTAGGCATGTTTAAATGGTGACAGGGTTGAAGAAGAAGAGGTTAAAAAGGAGAGAACGAAGTTAAAGATATATGTTTAAGCTGGAAACCAAGGAGGTAGACTAGGAGTGGAGAAAAAAGAAACTCATTCTAAGAAAGATGATATTTTGACATAAATGAATTGGGCTGACATGTGAAACCAAAAAGGAATGCTAGTTAATCAAAACTGAAGTGGGTTCATGGGAATATTTTTAAGGTAGAAAGGGTTTAGGTAGGGAAACTTGCTAAACAGCAGCTGGGTGAAATCAGGGGAACAAAAGACCATTAGATCAAGTTTTAGGGGACTCAGAAAAGGATCATTCCTACCTGAGCCCTGAGGGTTAAACCTGAAGCCTAGCATTACAGTATGTCCTCCAGAGCTAAGAGGAAGAATGAGCTGGTAGTCTGAGGTGAGAGATGAAACCATAAAGCTTAATTGTTATGTTAAATGGAGCTAGGTTTTATACAGTGAATAATAAGAGAACCTATCAATTACTGCTGTACTTCAGCTTTAACCCTAATATTCCATGTTTTGCACCCAGACCACTAAGTGCTCAAACATCATGGATCTGATTGGAACCCCCTTCATTCCACTGAGGGGTGTCTGTTGACAAACAGAAAACACAAAGAGTCTTTTTCTCCTGAGGAGTGACCTGACTGATTTAGTCACACAGCATTTCTGATTAATTAGTATTACTGTATTAAGACCTAACAACCCTAATCAATTTTGATTTTTGTTTGTTTGCTTAGATTTGTTTTGGGTTCTAACATTTTGCTGTCCCCCGGGGTCAAAGTCTGTTTTCTACCTATTGCAGAATGATCAGCCACCCACACCTGTAAATATAAGATACCTTAGTGATTCTTTTCCTTGTTGTTTTCCCAAAACCTAGCCTAATGTCTGGAACATGGAAGGCCCTCAACAAATATCAATGCGGTGAACAAGCAAATGACTGAGTTTCAACGGAGAGGGGAAAAAGTGATCACCAAATCTCTCCATGCAGGGGGAGTCTGACATTTCTACATGCCAAGGGCCCTTTGGCAGTCTGTTGAAGCCTGGGGACCCCTTCTCAGAATAAAGTTTTTAAATACATAGTATCACAGAGGAAACTAATTATACTGAAATACAGTTATAAAAGTACAAAAAAATTGTGATGTCATCACAAATATGCTTCTGTGGCACAGGCTGGGCTTGTCAGATTGCAGGATTCTCTATAGAGAGATCTGCTGGGCTGGTTCACTGGCAAAACCCCCAACTGACAGCACCTGTAGATTTTTTGCTCTTGGTTTCTCAGAGAGAAATCCTCCAAAGTCCTGTCTGGGAATCCACTGTGCTCAAAGTGAAGTGGTAGAAAGAGGGCACGCGAGGTGCACAGTTCTGTGTGTCCATTTTCACTTTACCCACTATTTTCCATACGGTGTCCTCACCCTCAGCTGTGTCTATTGTGCCTGAATCCACAGTCTATCTATCTGACCTTTTCAGTCTCCCCTGCCGGTAAGGAAGTCACAGCTGCCCAAGTGAATAGAGGCAGAGATAAGATCTGGGGACTTCCTGTTTCTTATCCAGACTTCCAACCAATCCCCCGGGGGTCCTGCATCACCCGCACTCCTACTTTGAGGGATATCCAGTGTCTCTGATTCTTGAGCCTTTCTGGCTTGCCAGAGGTGCAAATTAGCCTACTTTTAGATTTCTCACATTACTTGCTTATTAGGACTCAGCTGTTTCAGGGATGCTAATCGGTTACAGCTACTCTATCTGCTGTCCATCTTCCAAAATGTGGTTGTTATTTTCTTCTCTCTCTTTTGAGTTCATGCCTATTTTACCCCTTTACCTTTTACTTTAGTAGGGTTTAGTGAGGATACAACAGTGAACATATTTAATCTGCTACATTTTACTGAAGTTGACACTAAAATTTTTACAAAAGAGTAAAATGTTTTAAAAATCAAAGTTGGAAATAAAGCCCTCAAAATTCATCTAATATATTCTATGACTTTACTATCAAAGATAATCAATTTACTGTTATAACCACAGCTTCATGGAGGTAGGAATCATTTCCATTTTATTTACAATGTATTGTCCAGTACCCAGCACAGTAGAGGTGATTGATAAATATTTACTGAATAAGTGAACTGAATGAATATAGATATGATTAAAAATTAGGACCGTTAGTTTTTATAACTTCAGGAATTATCTTACTCACCTAGAATTGCTTTGGCAATATTCCAGAAAGCAGCCAGAAATAGATATACCTAATTTAAACCCAAGAATGATGTGTTTTATGACAATGAAGTCCTTCACTACAAAAAGCTTACTATAATTCTATATTCTATACCAATAATTTCCTGGATAGAAATGAAATTTGGATTCAAATTTACTTAGTTATCTTGAATAATTAGTAGTGTAAAAAGATGACTTATATTACAACCACTACATAAATAGTATTTAATTACAACTAATAGATATACAATTTTAAATGTCATTAAACGTATTTGTAATATTAAACAAGTTCTAATTAATACTGAAAATGTAAAGTCCTTCATAATCTAAAATCTGCACATTAGCTACTACATTTTATTTCATTTTGAGCAAAAAACAGCACAATTTTGATTAAAGAATTGGTTCTTGCAGATCCTTGTCATTCTTGTCAAGTGAATTCAAAGGGTCATCACAGCATGTCCTACTTTGTAATTATAATATAAACTGTGTATGTGCTTTGTTTTGTGATTCTTTATTGGCCACCACCTAAGCCATAATTCTCCTAAAGCGTTATTTAATTTTTCAGTTATACTTTTCATATTTTATGGGGAAAGTTAAATGCATAGTTTTTTTAACTGGGGAGTTCTGATACATCCATCAAAGGTTTACTACAATTCTAATAGGATGGTTCCACAGTAATTTTAAAGTAAAAATGTTTAGTCATTCATGTCAAAATGTTCCCCTGGGCAAACCTACATGGAAGTCCATAATCCATATGACACTGTCCTGTTAAATGTTTATTCTATACATAATTTATCCTTGTTTACATCCTGTTATTGCTAACTTCAAATTAAAATATAATACTCACTTCATCAGCCACAAACTCCTTACTCAGACCAAAATCTGTCAGCACCACATGGCCATTAGAATCAAGTAGAATATTCTCAAGCTTAATGTCACGGTATATAATCCCCAACTGTAAAAACAAACACATATGCATTTTTAAATAGTTTCCAAAAAATGAATTAGGACAGTCTTTCTTATCTACCTTAAAAAAAGGGGGGGGGGGCATTCCACTCCTCAAGATCCTGTGATGGCTCTGTATCTTTCTAGGGTAGTAAGATTAAGAGAAAGTTAGCTGAGATCTGATTTACTATGTTACTTTCATTCCATATCAATTACTTTTATAGACAGTATTATGTTCTCTTCTATATTTCTGACTACTGTTTTAATAATAATGAATGTTTATGGGTTTTCCTTTAATAAACAGGATGACCAGAATTAAAGTTTCACATAAATTAAAAACTGAAATTTTCTAGCTTATCCATCAGGGCTTTTTGTATTTTGCAGGTTCTTACTCTGGTATTTATGATGATTTCTACCATCATTTTTACATCATAAAAAATTACATCTAATACCCCTAATCATAAATTTCAAAGGTCTTTGCAGTCTATTCCTGGGTCCAATTTGTTCTCGTATAAAGATGTCTTAACTACTTTGTATCCCACAAAAATAATCATAGGCATAAAGCTTGTCATCATACTGAAAATTCTATTAAAAGATGTACAATGTCTGTTCCCAGTACTTCAGGCTGATTCCTCACTTTACTGCTCCTCTTTTCCCTTCCTCTCCTTTGCAGTGCAGCCCTGCGCCCCACTGACGTTTCTCTTTCCCTCCTTGTTCTTATACAGTTTTCATTCATTCTTCTAAAAATTACTATTCTGAACCATCTCCCTGCACCTGCGCAGTCTTGTTTTCTGTTCTGAGCTCGAGCTACCCTTTTCTTGATCCCTGCCTTCTTTTCTTACTCCACCATCCTTTCTCACAGCTTCTGTCATCTACTGCCTCCATCTTGCTGCTCTAATTGCCTGTGCCTTTAAAAACAACTTTCTTTCTTGCCCTTTGTGTTCAGTTCTGTCCTTTCTTTTCTAAGCACCACATTCAGCACTGTAATCTCTATTTGTCTTAATCTCTGTTTACCTTAAACTAGGACCTGAATACAACCTGACAAAGAAGAATGATATACCTGTATTGTCCTAATTTAGTAACTCACAGTCACGCTGATCTCCTTATGGCCTCACACACCTTTGGTGAAAATTACTTTAGTATTTTTATTCCTGAGAAAAAACACACAAGCCTAGTCTACATGACTGTGTGTGTCTACGATAATACTTCCTCACTAAGTAAAAAAAAAATTTAAGTCAAAATTTCTTGGATCAAGATTAATGGTGCCAGTGATATATTAAAAAGTTTAAACTGATTTTATAGAGTTCAAACAGCAATCATGGACATGAATTCCATTTAAAGTTTTCAATAACTGAGTTCCTGTTACATGGAGACAGTGGAGGAGGTGGGGGGAGGCAGGAGAAAGAGAGGGTGTCAGGGACAAAACAAATGGAAAATAAAGCCAGCACGGGAGAGTGGGAAATAACTGTTATTCTCCAACCTAATCAGGAAATATAACCTTAAGATGTACAGAGTCTACAGTGGAGTAAGTCAAAATCAAGGAAATACATATGATGATTTGTGGTTTCATTTTATAGGTTATTTTAAAAATTAAAGCTTTTATCTAATGATACTTTATAAAAATAGAGTTTTCCATGAAGAAAGCCAAAAACTGCTTAGGTTCTATGTTTTTAATCCGCATCATAGCAACTACAACAGGAAAGTATATTTTTTAAAAGGGGACCATAAAATTGAGAAAACTGGTCTTGTTCTATACACATGCTTTCACAATCTCCACCAAGACAATGACATGTAAAAACATTAGCTCGTTTAGCTCCATCATTACTTCAGTTAATAGACTTTTCAAAAAAGAAATCCCAAAGATGAAGTGTCTTACCTTGTGGAGATGTTCAAGGGCAAGCACAATTTCTCCAACATAGATCTGCACCTCGTGCTCTGTGAAACGCTCTCTTTGAGAAAGATGAGTAAAAAGTTCTCCACCGTTTATATAATCTAAAAATGAAATATATTTTTCTTTCTTTGACTTGTATTCATAAACAAAAGGAAGTATTTCCTTTAAGTCACTTTGGATTAACCATAAGGCAGTGATTTTAATATATTATTTTTTGTGTAATTCTTAACATATTTAGTATACACTTTCCTATGGAATATATTACTAGATTCATACAGTAATACAGTTTCATAGGATTATGGCTATCCTAACTCTCAATCAAATGAATTAGCAAAGAGTATTGCCATTAAACCTATTACATAAAACCTGCATATATTTAAATGCATTTTCCCAAATACAGTATGTCAGAAACCTCTGTCATCATCTCCTACAATGGATACTTAAATTACTGTGGAGTACCCAAAACATTAGCCACTAAGATAACCAAACAAAACACAAACAAAAATCCTAGCCTTTCATCTGTGATACTTGCCAGTCACTATTTTTAGGAACTTTAGGTAGATTCCTTATTTCCCAGAACTGTCTACGCACACTTCCAAAAATGCATATTAGGCAGCAGGTGGCCTTCTGATTGCTCCATATAGCCCAAGAAGAAAATTCATACAACATGGCCAAATCGAAGCACCTAAACTAGAATATTCCCATTTCCCTTTCAATTTACTTTATTTATCTGAAGGGAAATAATAAAATAGGAGACAAAAAGGCTACACTTCAGAAACAAATAAGGAAGCTGGTTAATTTTAAAAGACAATCAATTATGTTGATAATTGGCTCTAATAAGACATTTATTGATAAACTAAATGCTCATTATTTTAATATTGAAAATTGCTCAGAATCATAAAGGATAATAAATTGTTTGCAAAATAAATGTTGCAATAATTTTTTAAACTATAGTTTCATCAGAAACTAACCATTACATTAACACATATTTGTGAGCGAGAAACAGTAAATGTAGTTTAAAGCTTTTCTCCTGAAAAACTCGAAAAGCGTGTATATTCACTCATCAAGTTACCACAATTGGATAAAAGAAAAAAGCAAATTCTTATGAACTCACAATTTTTTCCCTTATCTTGCCCATTTAACTTTAAATTCCAAAACGCAAATGCAACAGAATTAAAGAACTCTAATATCTAGCTGTTTTGCAATGTATTTTACAAAGCACAAGTCAGCGAAAAGCATTTCTTTTCTAAGGCCAAAGAGTCTTAATTATATCTGAATATAAAGCCAATTATTAAAGAGATGTAAAGGAACACAGCATTCCTGCAAACTAACGATGATTTTTTTTCCTACTTTTAAGTAGTTATTTACTTAAATCAAACCAAATACTGGTGTTTATGCATAAAGTTTCCATAGTCAAGACACAGAAATAGGCAACCATATATTGACAAAACCCCTACACAGACTTGAATGTCCAATTCAGTCAACTCATCTATGGTCACTCGAACAGAGTTGAGCATTTCCTCATATGTTGCCTTTGTACTAATTAAAGACTTCTACCACTGCAATTATCTTGCTATATTGCAAATGTTCACTTGTATACTTGCTTTCTCTGCTAAACCCTTGAGTTTTTTAAGTCAGGATCAATATATTCAACACTACAAACCCAACATAGTGCCTACATGCAATAGGCACTCATTAGATGTTTACTGCATCAATTAATAACTGAATGCAAATTCTTTATATTGGAAATTTTTTTATATTTTCAGAGATCCTTAAATTTCAGGGTGTCTGAAAAAAATCACTCTGAAACTCAAACGGCCAGTCCATTGAAAAAAAAAAAAAAAAAAAAATCCAATGTAGTCCTTAGAGGCAACGTGACACAGTCAAAAGAACCAGACTTTGTAATTGATAGACCTGCATTAGACAATGATTACACTGCTGTCCTACTCTGAGCAAATGAAGTCTCTCTGCGCTTTTATCTATAAACAGAATTAATAACTACTTATGGATTATTGTTGCTTGAAACATATTTTCCATTTACTGGAGAGACTGAGAAAAAATACAAATCTAAGGAGACAAACATAGAACAAGATCAAGTAACTTATTTCCTACTTTTGGAACTGACTGACCTGACAGCCCAAGCTAAAGACTTGACATTCATAAAATAAATATGTTTTGTTTTGTTTTTGTAGATATGTGCTGCATCCTTTACAGGGTAGACAGCAAACTCTATCCAGTGGTCCAGGCTGTAAGAGTGGTAGAATAGATACTGAGGCTGCCAAAGGGATATAACAGCAGAAGCTATGGTACCTGGAGTGTCATTATGAAGTAAGTGTTATAATCAATGGCAGAGATGTGAAAAGTTAGTGGGAATCTCTATACAGTAATCAGTACTCCCAGTCTTTATAATTTTGTTATTCTATTGTAATTTTGGAGTGGTATCTTATTATGGTTTTAATTTGTGATTTTCCCAAATAACAATATTTAGCATCTTCCCATGACTTATTGGAAATTTCTATATCTTCTGTTGAAGTGCTTATTAAAGTTTTACTTGCCCATTTGGTTTTCTCTTTTATTTGAGATACAATTTACATACCATGAAATTTTCCTACTTGAAGTGCAAAATTCAATGGTTTTTAGTATTTTTAGAGTTGTGCAACCATCACTACAATCAATTATAAAACATTTTTATCATCCACTGCAATGGACTGAATGGCCTCCCAAACTCACTGAAGCTTAATCCCCACAGTGACAGTGTTAAGAGGGTGGGGAATCCTATTGTGGTGATTGAAAGATGGGGGCCTTGAGGAGGTGATTCGATTGGGAGGACGGTACCCTTGTGAAGGGATTGATCCACTCTTGGGATAATGAGAGTGGTTATGATGGCTTTAAAAAGAGAGTGAATGAGGAGGTTAGTCTCTCTGCTCTGCCATTCTGCCATGTGAGACCCCTGCATCACTATCACTTGGTACCAGCCAGGCCTTCACCAGATCAGTTCCCTGGTCTTTGGACTTCCCAGCCTCTGAAACTGTAAGCAATAAATTTTGTTTTCCTATAAATTTCCCAGGTTCAGGTATTTCTGTTAGAAGCAAAAGAAACAGACTAATACACCCATCAAACTCCAGAAATTCCAATTTATCTAATTTTTTCATTAGTTGCTTATACTTCTGCTGTCACATCTAAGAAACCATTGCCACACAAATTTATCCCAATGTTTTCTTCTAGGACCTTTATGGTTTTAGCTCTTAGTCTTTCATCCATTTGAGTTAGTTTTCATATATGTTGTGAGGTATGGATCCGACTTCATACTTCTGCATGTAGCTATCATGTTGTCCCAGTACCATTAGTTGAAAAGACAGTTCTTGCCTTGTTGTCATCATTGTTGAAAAATCATCCTGATTTGATCATCACAAATTGTATACATGTATAATTAGTCAACTCTGTACCCCGTAAATATGTATATGTTTCAATTTTTTTTAAAAAAGGAAAATCAATAGACTGTAAATGTGAGAATTTTTGGACTCTCAATTCTATTCCACTAATCTATATACCTATCCTTATGCACTGACATAAGGAGATCCTTTTTCAATTATTGTAGCTTTGTGGTAAAATTTGAAATGAGGAAGTATGAGTTTTCCAACTTTATTCTTCTTTTTCAAAATGGTTTTAGCTATTTTATGTCCCTTGATTTTCCATATGAATTTTAGGATCACCTTGTCAATTTCTGCAATGATTAAAGGGGTCCATCCTCAAAACATTCATGGAAAATGTGTATTATGAAAAAATGGACTTTGAAAAATTTTGCACTAAAATACACTTGTTCTATCTTGTTATATCATATCTGAACAAGATCCAGTTTGAGACACTAAGAAGGATAACATCAGTTTGAAAAGAGCCCCTATCAGAGCAACATGAATTCTGCTAAATTTGAAGCAAGAACAAACATCAAATTTTTGGTGAAGCTTGGGTGAAAGAATGATGAAATCACTGATGCTTTACAAAAAGCTTATGAGGACAATGTTCCAAACAAATCAGCAGTTCACAAATAGACAACTTGTTCTAAGAAGGGACAAGATAATGTTGAAGATGAAGCCTGCAGTGGCAGACCATCCACATCAATTTGTGAGGAAAAAATTAATCTTATTTGTATCCTAATTGAAGAGGACCAGAGGATAACGGCAGAAACAAGAGCCAACACCATAGACATCTCAAATGGTTCAGCTTACACAATTCTTACTGAGAAATTACAACTGAGCAAACTTTCCACTAGACTGATGTCAAAACTGTTGTGCCCATATCAGTTACAGACAGGAGCAGCTTTCAATGGAAATTTGAAACAAGTAGGATCAAGATCCTGAAGCATTTCTTCAAGTAATTGAAACAGGAGATAAAACATGACTCTACCAGTATGATCTTGAAGACAAAGCACCATCAAAGCCATGGCTACCAAGAGGGGAAAGTGTTTTAGTCAAAGCAAAAGCAGACCAGTCAAGAGCAAATGTCATGGCAACAGTTTTTTGGGATGCTCAAGGCATTTTACTTGGTTTTTGGCCCTCCAAAAAGACAGTAACATCTGCTTATTATGAGAAAGGTTTTGAGAAAGTTAGCCAAAGCTCTAGCTGAAAAATGCCTGGGGAAGCTTCACCAGAGACCTTCTCCACCGTGACAATGTTTCTGCTCTTTCCTCTCATCAAACAAGGGCAATTTTGTGTGCACTTCAATGGGAAATCATTAGGCATCCACCTTACAGTCCTGATTTGGCTACTTCTGACTTTTTTATTTCCTAATGTTAAAAAAAAAATCTTTGAAGGGCACCCATTTTTCTTCAGGTAATAACGTAAAAAAGACTGCATTGCCATGGTTAAATTACCAGGACACTCAGTTCTTTAGGGATGCACTAAATGACATGCACAAAAGTGTCTTGAACTTGATGGAGCTTACGGTGAGAAATAAGGTTTATATTTTTATTTTTATTTTTTAATTCTATTTTTCCATGAATATTTTTGAAGTCTCCTTGAATAAGCTAAAATTTTGGCAACAGTTGTTGTTAAATCTGTAAGTAAACTTGGGAAGTATTGCCATCTAAGCAATATTAAGTCTTCAATCCATGAACACGTGATGTCATTCATTTAGGTCTTCTTTCATTCCTCAACAATGTTCTATAGTTTTCAGAGTACAGGTTTTACACTTCCTTTGCTAAATTTATTGCCAGGTATTTTATTCTTTTTGATCCTAAAGTAAATGAAGTTGTTTTCTTAATTTAATTTTCAGATTGTTCACTGAAAGTATGTAGAAATACAACTGATTTTTGTATGTTCATCTTGTATCCTGTAACTTTGCTGAACTTATTAGTTCTAGTAGTTTTTTAGTGGATTACTTAGAATTTTCTATTTACAAGATATGTTATCTTTAAAATAGAGTTTTTCTTCTTTCTTTCCAACATGAAGGCCTTTTGTGTCCTTTTCTTGCCTACAATGTTGAATAAAATGGTAAAATAGATATTTGTTCCCTGTTCCTGATTTTATGGGGAAAGCATTTGGTCTTTCACCATTAAGTATTATGTTAAGTATTAGCTGTAGGTTTTCCATAAATGCCTCTATTGGGTTGAGGAAATATAGTTCTATTCCTACTTTGTTGAGTGATTTTTATCATGAACTAGAGCTGAGTTTTGTCAAATGCATTTTTCTATTATTACTATATTTTTTGGCAGCTGGCTGGTATAGGATCAAACCTTGCACCTTGATGTTACCAGCACCAAACTCTAACCAGAGCTAACTGGCCAGGTCTCATACACTTTTTTCAGTGTCTATTGAGAGGATCGTATGGGTTTTGGTTTTTATTCTACTGATATGGTATGTTAAGTTGATTCATTTTGGGTTAATAAAGCAATCTTGCAATCCTAGGATAAAATTCCACTTGACTATGATATATATTCCTTTTTGTTGCTGAATTTGGTTTGACAGAATTTTTGCATTTATATGCATAAGAAATATTGGTTTGTAGTGTTCTTGAGATATTGTCTGGTTTTGGTATTGGGGTATATTGGTATCATAGAATAAGTTGGGAGGTGTTTCCTCCTCTTCTTTTTGTTTGTAAACAATTGATATCAATTTTTCTTTAAATGTTTGGTAACATTCACCAGTGAAGCCATCTGGGCCTCTCTGCATGTAGTTTTTATTAGGAGGAGGAGGAGTAATAGTAACAGTAGTAGTAGTTTGATCAGGACTTGTATTTATTCTTGAGTCAGTTCCTGTAGTGCAGCAAATTGAATTGTGTCCCTCCAAAACTCACTGAAGCTTGAATTGTGTACCCCAGTTTTATGTATTAGAAACTTGGCCCCCACTGTGACTGTTAAGAGGGTGGGAAATCCTATTATGGTAATCCTATTAGATTGTAGGACCATGCTCTAATGAATGGATTAAAAATGGTGGTCAGGGACATGGTTCTGAGGGCTTTTTTTTTAATTTTGAAATTTTTATTTATTATTAGCATATTCACTTTTACAAGTCGTGATGTT